CTTTCCCTTTCCTGCATAAACACCAATGCATTTTCAGCAGTATTTGAGTGACCTGACAGTGACTCCCAGATCATTTTTTATTATAAAAATCAAATTTAGAAGAAAGTGAGAGCTGAAAATAGACAGAGAATCACTACGTGCCACCAAAAAGAGATTTGGGAAGGGGTGAGGCTGTTTAAAACTTACATTATTCCTACTCCAGGCCAGCTGTGCTTCTCCTATTCTCTCATGCCCAGCTTTTAGGGCAATGGAGTATTTTAAAGTGTTAATATTACTGAAAAAAGCAAAACTGGGATCTTTAAACCAGCTTCTAATTAGTCAAGTAAAGTTAAAGCTACCCGGCCATTCTTGAAAAAAGCCTGAGTAACACAGGCAGTCTGGGTGGTGAGAAAAGTCATTTAAAACTCCCCAACCTTTTAGATTTTTGTAGTAACTTGTACAAGTAGCAGTGGGACCCTAGCTGCAGTTTCATTTTTAGACTTAAACAGGGCACAGTGATGACACTGAAATGGCATGTGCCCTATTATCTCAGTTCCGTTACTGTTCATTGGTGCAAAGAAAAACTCTGATCTCACAAAGTCTTATGCAGTTGCTATCACAGGGCATGTGTAGATGACACAGGCATTAAAGAAGAGCACCTGAAAATTTTAATGTGACTTTTTTTTGGTGCGGTGCATTTGTGTTTGCATGAATGGCACTTTTGAGCGAGTTAACCCTTGTGTATCATTCCCTGCAGATTTCTGTAGGTGGAGTCAAATACCAATTTACCACCTGTAATGTCTTTCCTAATGTATTATAGCAGGAGGCTCATGTAAACCACCCAGCCTCCCCAGTCCCCACCTCTGGACTCAGTGGGAGTCTCCCCTGGGCACAGTCATGGTCACTCCAAAATCCTTGTAACTTGCACCCACCTATGCTCCGTCAGTCTGGTCTCTCTCTGTCAGTATGTGATCTCAAAGACCCCATCCCAATCTCAAAGACAAGCTGTATGAATCCTCCTCTCCCATTCCTTTCTCTTCCCATTCCACCATGTTACAAATATATGTGTTTTTTCTTTCATTTACTATAGCTGCTATGATAACTGCTATGATATCATAAAATATTCAGGGTTTAGAGTAGCGGGTGGGTGGGTGCATGTTTGTTGCCACCGGGTTGATTGGTAATTACTCTTGATGTCGATGGTGGTGAGCTCTTCTGGCATTTTGTTTGTTTGTTTGTTTTTAATTACATTTCCCACATTCCCAAGCTCACTGATCTTCATACAGTTTCCAGTGGGGGCTCCCATTGGAACCCTCCTGTTCCCTGCCCAGGTACACTGTCAATCTGTTTGTGTAGTGCCACATACGGCTTTTGGAGGTGTGTGAATTTTTTAATAAATGTTTTTGGAATCTTTTTGAAAATTTGGGTTGCTGTTTGGCTTGGTCCCCCACCCACCTAGCCTGCCAAAAGCTATAATAGTTAACCTTCTCCACCCCTGGCGGGGGGGGGCTCATTCAAATGTGGGTGACGTGTGCGTGATGCCCCCCTTCCCCAAACCACTCATAGTCTGAAAGCAGCAAACCCCTAGTCCAGTCCAGATTTTCTCCCCCTTCCCCTGACTGTCCTCTCTTCCACCCCGCATCTGCAACACCGCACGACCCTGTAGACAGACACAGATTTTAAGTGTAAATGAATTTATTTTAACATAACCAAGAGAAAGAACAAAGCACTCCTAGGTGTTCTTGTCAGCCATATATGATGCTAGACAGTCACACACAAGGGAAGCCCAACCCATCTCTCCTTGAGGATATCTTCTCAGTCCCTGTGCTGCTTCTGCTGCCCGGACATGTCTCTGTTGTCTGGCCGCAGCCTGTCACACTTCTTCCCACAAGTCCTTGAAAACCTCTCCTCAGCTGTCACAGATATTGTGCAGCATGCAGGCTGTCACTAGAAAGGCCACGATATTTTCTTGCTCCATCTTGAGCCGGCATGTAAGTGCCCTCCATTGTCCTTTCAGTCAGCCGAATGCACATTCCATGGCCATCCTGCAACTGCTTGGACGGTAGTTAAAAACTAGCTTCTGTGGGTTGGTGATGTTCCCTCCATAAGGCTTTATAAGACAAGGCTTTAGGGGGTAGGTAGCATCTGCTAATATAACTGGGGGAACAGCAACACCACAGATCACTGTCTCCTCCATTCTGGGTGTGTAGTGTCTTTTCTCCACGAGGGCAGGCAGAGGGGAGTTTCTGAACATGTGCACATCATGTGCACTGCCAGCCCACCCAGTATAAAAGTTCATGAACAAGCCCCACTGGTTCACCATAGCTTGCAAGATCATGAAGGCATATCCTTTCCTGTTTGTGAAAGCCCTCCCTTCCCCACAGGGCACAGCCCTTGGATGTGAGTGCTATCTAAAGCCCCCAAGCAGTTTGGGAACCAGTTCTCACTAAAGCCATCTATGACTTGCTGTGGATTTGCCAGGCAGACAATTTTTTTGCAGTGATCTCCTTAAGCAGCTGGCATGCCTCACGAGTTGCCAGCCCGACCATGCAGGCAGCCATGCTGAACTGGTTTGCAATGTATTAGAGGCTGGATGAGCTGGCCAGTTTCATGATGGCCATTGCAACCCTCTTGCCTGGTGGGATGGCCCGATGCATGTTAGTGTCCTGCCTTGGGATGTGGGGCCCCAGCATTGAGACAATATGATAGAATGTCTTCCTTTTCATTCAGAACATCTCCAACCACTGCTGGGCATTCCAAGTCATCAGCTTGATTTGCTCCCACCAGTTCCAGCTTCTCTCGTGGGCCCATACCATGTGGATTCTAGTCCTCCTCAGGTGTCTCCACAGAGCCCAGTCAAATTTCACTACTTAGCTTTTTCTCTGTGTATTCCAAGTCCTCTGGGTACCTGTATCTTCTTCTTCTTATTGTCATAAATGCTGTTAAACCAGGAACACAACTTGCCAGTGAACACTGTAGCATAGTTGTAAACAGCATTTACAGAAGAAGTACTGCCACCTTCTCCTCCTGCTCACCCATGTCCTCCATGTTCAACATGTCGGAAGACTCTTCACTGTGTTGCTCTCCATTGTCACGTATGTCATCCTCATTCTCCATTTTGCCTTGCTCCATCAGCAGCTGCTTCTCACCCATCTGCACCAAGCGGGGGGCAGAGACTGTAGGGTGTTGTGTGGTCTGGAGCTTGATGTAGCTGCTTTTTCAACACTTTACCCTGGCACCCTGTGGCATTGGGGCTTTTGCACATTCTTTCATCCTGAGCTTAGCAGCCACTGAACTGCTGATGTAACCAAGCTTACAAACAAAAAATGCTTTGCCTATTCCTCTCCTGGTAATGTAGGCTACACAAAACTTTTGCCACTTTAGGGAAAAAAGGCTATGCTTCTGTAATAAAATCATTTTGCACAAGCAGGCAGGTTGGTATAAATTTTTGCAAACTTCCAGGCCATTGAGTAGCCATCCCAAAGTACAATGGCCTTATTTACACCATCACCAGGTCTTTTTTGTTGTTAAACTGGGTGCTTCATCACCTTTGGGTGTTTTGACACTTGCAGGTGTCCTCCTACTTCACAATCCTTGGAATTTTCCCAGACCCTCATGCAAGCACAGCCTGAGTATAAAGCCCCCCACCTCAAATTTGCCAGCCCCCTTTCACAAATTGCTTGTGCTCTTGACCATGAACTGCTTCACCATGTCTCAGAAAGCCAAGGCCAGCAGTATGGAGCCAATGATGGAAGAGGCTGATACCTCCAATGCCTGTGAACCCAACTGGACCTGGGAAGAACTGGAGGACTTAATAGACTTTTGGTCAGAGCAAAGAATCATAGACAGGCTGGAAAGTAGGAGGAATAAGTCTGTTTATGTCAAGATCGCAAAAGGCATGCAGACACAAGGGCACAATCATGACTGGGCCCGGGTCCGGTGCAAGATCAAGTCCCTGAGATCAGAGTTTTACAGAGCCAAAGATGCAAACACTCATTCTGGGACAGGTCACACAATTGCCCCCTTCTATGACAAACTGTCCATCTTACTCTCCAAGGATGCGGGTGACAACCTGGGTATGGAGACTTTCAGCACCAGGGTTGGGCAGGAAGAGAAGGAAAAGGAGGATGAGGAAGCAGCAGCCCCTCCTGAGGGTGAAACCATGAGCATGTCTCAGCTGTACAGAGACCACTCCCTGCTCCTTGATAACCACGAGTGGCAGGAAGAACCATTGGTCACCATACACTTAGTGTCACTTAGCCCCACCATTTCATGGACTAGCACAGATAATGAAGTGGAGGAGGTGGAGGGTCATGAAGAAACCCATGCAGCTGATACATCATCTACTGTTTGCTAAGACCCAAGAACATGCTGGACCTGGTAAATCTCTTGTAATGTGCCTCTTGCCATTGCCAGGCAATGCCTGGGTTCATGCTAGTTGGTGTCGCAGGGCACCTCAGTGCCTGCTCCTAGGGAATAGAAACTGCCAGGGAGAGAGAGAGCCCTGGCAGAACATAACGAGCACAGCTGTGGGTTGCCGGGGCAACTAAGAAGAGCCAGCTGCCTGTAGGAGGCAGGGCCTGGCCTTTATAAAGCCCAGGGCTGAGGCCAGGCTGGCAGTTCCCTGCCAGCAGCCAGAGAGGCAGGGGGTCCCCGGGGTTAGATGCGCTCTAGCTGAGAGAAGGATGGCAGCTCTGAGAGGTTTGAGCACCATGGTTTAGCCAGGAGGCTTTATGTTTGAGTTATAGCCAGGAGGCTCGAGTTTATGTTCGGCTTTGATATTACACCGGTGGCTTGGGTGTGGCTATAGGGGTTGGAGGAGGCCTCATAAAGGGCCCCACCATGATGTGGGGGCCCTAGCACTAGTCAAGGCACAGTATCCTCATAAAGGGGGGAACCCCAGTGGTATGGGAACTCCGGCGCCAGTGAGGGTGCAGCACCAGTGAGGAGCGCAACCAGTGGGTTGCGGGCGGGGAACATAGACCCCGGGTTGTGTGCGGGGTATGTAGACCCCAGCCCCAGAGGGGCAGCTGTGAGAAGCCCCAGCGAAGGCACGACAAGCCCCAGAGAGGGGGCAATATTACTAGGAAGCCCAGTGTGGGCACGGTGAGCCTCTGTAGAAGGGCTAGTGCTGTGACAAACCCTGAAGCAGGGTAGAGTGCTGCGGTTGCCCCCGGCGAGAGGGGGTAGTGGCACGGTGGGCCCTGGGAGAAGGGGGCAGCAGCGCGGGCGCAGGGGGAGCGGGGGGGGGGGGCGCTACCGAGAAGTCCCCAGAGTGGGCACAGTGAGCCCCAGAGAGGGGGCGATACTATTGAGAAGCACAGCGCGGGCATGTAAGGTCCCAGAGAAGGGAGACTATTGAGAAGCCCGAGACGGGTGTAGCGAGCCCAGCTGTAGGCTAGTGCGGCAACAGCCCTCAGATAGGCAAGGTGCTGCGGTGGTGCCCAGAAAAAGGGAATAGCAGTGCAGTGAGCCGGGATCAGAGGGGCTAGCCATGCGGTTGGCCTAAAGGACCGGAGACCCGCTAGAGGGTCCCTGAGCGGGACAACACTTTTAGACAAGGCCCAGAGTGGACTCGGCAAGAGTCCTAGTGGGGGGCTGTGTACTAGAGAGAGCCCAGAATGGGCTAGACTACAGGGGAGGCCCAGGAGTGGGCTAGATTACAGAGGAGGCCCGGGAGAACGGGCATGTATCATGACAGACCGGTGTCCAGCACATCAGCGAGGCTTGGGGCGCGGTTTTAGGAGCTGGTAGGAGCCCCGGCGAGCCCAGAGCGTAGCCCATAAGGCTAGGGTGCAGGATAAGACCCACGAGGGGTCCAGGAGTTTACGTGCCCAAGGAGACGCAAGGCAGCCTCCCAACTATACATAAACATCAAAGACATGACGGGCGAGAATTTGAGGGTACCCCTGGGCTGACTTGGCACGGTGAGGGGGCCGTAGGGAGATCACGGCCCTCCTAAAGGACCCTGCCGTGACAGTTGGGTTTGAACCAGGGGGGATGAAATTCATGTTTTGCTGTAGGTGGGTTGCCATGTTCTTTCAGTAGTGGTGCATGACAGGTTCGATAGCTTGTAATGTAACAGACACCAAACTAATTATTTGCTTTAATTAATTTTTTGTAGCTAGCATGGTCAGCGGCAGTCGTGGACCTGTGTCCGAAGTGAGTACCTTTAAGTTTTGGGCAGTATAAGTGGTGCCTCGCTGTTGCAGGGTCTGTTTCTGTGCCTGTCAGCATTTTGGGCACTGCATAGTGGGGGTGTGGGGGTGTACTTTTTTCCACTTGGGGGGAGGGTAACCACTGCTTTTTTCTTTGTTTATCAGCCACCGCTACCCATGGCTTCCTGGAACAGTGCCCCACTTGCACTACAGCAGAGCACTGCAGAGATTTTTGCAGCAAGTAGAGATGGTCCCGTGAAACCTTGCTCAAGGACTCCTCAGTAGCCAGAGTGGAATGCACAGCTGCTTGGCAGGACAATCTCCATGAGTCACTGCATAAGGTGGATGCTATCCTTGAGGAAGTGCGAGACACCATGCGGAATTTGAAAGACGTGGTTGACGAGTCCCATGTTGAATTACCGAGGTCACAGGACACTTTCAATGATGCCTTTCAGAATTTGCAGAAGTACCTAAATAAATGGGTACCACGCCTGAAAAGGAAAAGTTGGTCTGCTTATCTTGCTTCTGCAGAGAATTACAGCCAAGCCAGTTCCCCTTAACTCAGTGGGGTCACAGGAGGGCTGTATGACTGCCAGCAGGAGCAGGAGGGCACCACTGCATTTCAGGGTCATGGTGGGGTGAAGGCAAAGAAGTACAAGTAACTATAATAGTGTGTTGCAAACAATAAAACCTCATGGTTTCTTGGCTTCCTATGTCTGCCTCTCTATCCACCGTTAAACTGCTTGGTTGTGAAGGTGGATTTTGTTCATTGTTTGGGTACATTTATCTCTGTTCATTTTTCCCGCTGCTTGGTGGGGGGGGGAGGGGTTGGCAACCTCTCTTGCATGGATATGCAAGGGGGCTTCAGAGGTAAATGGGGGGGCTGCCTGGATGGGTCGCAATATACAAGTGCTGGCCTGCACACCAGCATTTTGCAAAGGCAGCACCCACTCTGCAAAGTCACTTTTGAGGCAATACCTTATTTTCACCTCCCTGATTTGGGAGAAGGGGAGTGGTGTGTCACCACCCAGGAGCCTGGCTTGCTTTTTTGCAAGCCACCAGCCACTTTGCAAAGTTGCCCACAGGGGCTCATGCCTTACCAGGTTCTTTGGCTCATCCTTCACAACCCTTACTTGCATTTTCTCTAGATGGAAACTTTGAAAATTGTGCTTTTTTTCAAGATTCTTTTCACACTCTTTTCCAGCCAGGTGCCAGGCACTGTCTCCTTTGTTTTGGAAGACCAAAGTGATGCTGTGGGTGAGGGGGGGCAGTGTGGGATTTAAGACCTACTTTGCTTGCACACAAACCCAGGGATTTTGCAAACTTTTCACCTCCTGCCCAGCCTAGCACCAGAGTATCTCATTTTTTTCCACACCAAAATGAGGCTACTGGTGGGGGGGACAGGGGTTGCCCTACTCAAGCACTAAATTGCAGGAGAAGAGGTCTGGGTACATGTTCGCTGTATTGATGAAGGAGGTTTGAGGCAGGTGAGGGATGACAGCACAGCAGGGGCAGAGAAGGACTCATCCCAGTCACGAGACTTGCCTCTGGGGGATACAGCAGTACAAATCCAGGGTTCGAGAAGACTGCAGGCTGATCAAGTGGGGTGCAGTGAAGCTTCAAGTGCTATTTGATGCCTGCACCTCTGCAACATGCAACTGGAAAGAGGACATGGCAGTGTACTACACACCACCTTTGGTAAGAAACACCTGACCCTTGTCTGTGCCCTGAGGGTGGCAGGGTCACCCTAGGGGGTGTGAATACAAGTGACCGTCCTGGGCACAGTGCTTTGGGGGCCCCACAGATGAGCGGAGCAGACTGGGTAACTCCTCAGCACTGCCACCACCCTCACATCCAGATGTTCTCCAACTCCCCTCCCCCACCACCGTAGCATGCAGGATCAACTCTGCAGAGTGGGGAGGGGCTAATTTGCACAAGGCCCTGCACCAGTGGCATACTGTGGGTGCCTGAGGGACAAGCTGAGGATGCCACCACCCTCAATCCCATGCTCCCCAGAAAAGCCACCTCCTGTGGTGGTTTCGATGGCGGGGGGGGAGGGGTGATCAGTGTGGAGTGGTGGTACTCCCTTTGCACCTGCCAATAGTGCCCCCTTTGTGTCCGTGCCGGGGTGACCGCACTGCCTGCTGCCATTGGTATGCCACTGCCTTTCACCCTGATAGGGTCATCTCTGGTCAGGGGGATGCATTATTTAGTTTAAATGTATTGTAAATGGGGCTGGTGGAATTTTATGGACATGAAAGAAGGTACTTGAGGTGCACAAGAGGTACCAATACAAATTCCGATGCTCTTTCTATCCTCCCTCCCTCCGGTTTTTAGATCCCCTTCCACTGCTAGCCACAGGCTGATTGATCCCTGTTGGTGTGAAAAGAGGCAGAAAGAGAAAGGAAGAAAGGGAAGATGAAGAGGGTGACAACATTTCCTTCAGGATTCTCTCAACAACTGAACTAGTATGCATTATAGTTATAGTTGACTTTCATCGTGACTTATATAGACATAATATAATAACAGGTAATACTAATAATAGGATTCAATAATACTATAAATTCAAATAGTAATTGTAATGGTTCAGTTCCTTATCACAGCATTTCAAAGCAGGTAGGTATGCCTTATCACCCTGCACACATGACACAATCCTGGCCTCCACCATATATGTATAGCCAATATATTATATAGACATGTTATGTAGACTTATAATTACTGTTTGATTCCTTATGATGAGAAAACAGATACTGAGTGTAAGGCAGGTGATTATGTGCCCTCCCTGCCTCTTTCCCCATGGCAGGGGGAGGGAAATGCCCACTTCCTGGTTCAAGCTTGTGCCTAGGTCCCTCTATTCCCACGGAGAAGAGATATATACCTTTCTGCTTTACATACTACCTTTACTGAACTTATATTACTTCCTCTCCTGATTACTGGCCACAAGTACTGTTGAGGTTTCTCTTCTGTATACTACTTGAATTGTGGCTCACGCCACAAGCTTTGGCCCAAGCATCAGCTTGAATATGATAAGAGTTGCACAAGTTCTGCAGATCCATTTTATATTATTATAGTCCTCCTCCTGGTTGCTGGCCCTGTTTTCTAATAAGTGTATTATGGAATTGTAATTAGAGGATTGTTTCTGGCCAAAAATGTGGAGGCTTTCTTCTTGGTTGCAAGCCAAGACCTCCGGCAAGTTTCTTCCCAGGGTCCAGGTAGTAAGCCCAGGCCTGCGGGTTCTTCGCCCCACTTGCCCACCTCTTCACCTCTCTGTTGCACCCTTGGAACTTTTTCAAATCATTTCTGGCCACAAAGGAAGCTGTGCTCCTGAGCTATGACCACTGCAGTGGCAGAAGCTGAGGCTTCTTCACTGGCTTTGGCCTGAGCATCAGGTAAATTTACACAAGTTCTGCAGGCCCACTTCATATAGTCTTCTCACCCCCTTCCTGGTTACTGGCCATGTCCCAGCAAATTCAGACAGGAGTACATGTCTTTTGACTGGGGGAAAGCTGCTTCATGGGAAAAACCCTCCCAGCCTTTCATAGTCTTCTCACCCTCCTCCTGGTTAGCTATTACCACTGCAGTGGTAGAAGCTGAGTCTTCTTCACTGGCTTTGACCTGAGCACCAGCTTGATTTGCACAAGTTCTGCAGGCCCACTTCATATAGTCTTCTTGCCCTCCTCCTGATTAATGGCCATGTCCTGTATCAGCACAAGCTAGACAAGTTCTGCAAGCACATTTCATTAATTGCTGCAGAGGGTTCAGGGTGCAGGTCAAGCCTTCCACTAAGGAAGCTGAGGCTTGAGTTTCTTTTCTGAATTGTGGAGGCCTCCTTTTTGGTTGCTGGCCAATACCTCCAGGGTCTGGGTGTAACATGAACTGAACCAATGTAGCTGATGTTAACATAGATTGTAATAGTAGTGAAATGTAACCACGTTAGTCTTGTCCTGCAAGACAAAGCAACTTGAAAACTCCATTTTGTATCCTTCTGCTTGACATAAGTGAATTAACTCTGCATAGCCTTTATGTATGAGTATGTATAAAAGGGTGAATGGTGAGAGAGTCGCATAGAGATGGGAGAAGAAGATTTAACTGTTTATGTAGGCAACAAGGTGCCAAATGTAAGTTACCAGTCAGTAAACTAATTAATAAATGGCTGAAGAATCCCTTTTAGGCCTAGGGCACAAAGATAACAAGGAGAAGGAATGTACCCATCCTGCCAGACGGGCAGCAAGAACACTCCAAGGCTGAGAGAAGCTGAAGACAAAAGAAGAACAATCACAAAAACAGAAGCTGGGTATGGAAAAACCCCTATAAAAGAACACCTTGAAAATGCCAAGTTGGGTGAGTCTCTTTCTCTAATGATGTTTCATCAGAGCACAGATGCAGCTGTTCACCCCTCTCCGGCTGTTATCTTCAAATCTGCTATCTTCAAATCATCATCATCTACTCAATAAGCCCGGGTTGGCTACCCTTGGCTGATATTGAGCAACTATTGCTGGTAACTATATCTGGTGTATGTGTAGATGGAATGGTTGTTTTGTGTATCTTTATGCCTATGTGTATGATGGTTTGTTTGTTTGTTTGTTTGTTATATGAATGGTGTGTCCAAACCTCTATGTCTAACTCATGTAATCAATAAACATGGCACCTTGACTTCTCCCCCTTTTTATAAAGTCTCACTCGTGATTTGAGCAATTGGCAATTTGAGTAACACGGGTAGTAGACTCTTCGCCCCACTTGCCCACCTCAGCCTTACACCTTGCGGAGGCTTTCTTCTTGGTTGTTGGCCAAGACCTCTGGGGTAGCTGGCCCAGGACTGCAGGATCTTCACCCCACCTACCCACCTCTGCCTTACACCTCTCTGTTGCACTCTACTAACTTTCAGATCATTGCTGGCCACAAAGGAAGCTGAGCTTTCTTCACTGGCTTTGGTCTGAGCATCAGCTTGATTTGTACAAGTTCTGCAGGCCCATTTCATAGTCTTCTCACCCTCCTCCTGGTTACTGACCATGTCCCAGAAAATTTGTCCTGGGGTACATGTCTCCTGACACCCACCCACCACTCTTTCATTCGGGGTTCTGTCTCCTTGAGTTTCTTCTCTGACTTGTGGAAGGAAGGAAGATTTTAAATAAATAACAACAGAAAGTAGAAGTTCCCCCCCCCCACCCCACACACACACACCCCTGTGGGGGCTCTCCCTAAACTTTGTGGCCAGCAAAGATTCCAAAGTTACTATGTAATGGAGGGTAGCATGTCCTGACTCAGCTAGGCAGCTGAGTTGGGCCATTCATCTGAGGGGGCCCCTAAGGGATTGTGCCTGGGGCCCCCACCTGAGAGGGCCCTTTGGTACCATGCCTGGGTCCTGCCCCCCCCCCTTTTGACCCAGCCATCTTTCTGCTGGGACAAGCTCAGTAACCACGAAGGGTGGGGGGGGGGGAGGAGGCAGGATGCCTCCCTCCCTCTCCCACACCCCACCCATCCATGGCCTGACTCGGACAACTAGTTGAGTTGGGCCATACATCTCCACCTGAGGGGGCCCCTAGGGGACCGTACCTGGGGCCCCACACCTGAGGCCCTAAATAAGCTTTGCGGGTGAATTTGTTTAGTCTTCTTTCTTGCAAGAAAATGCTGATTTTACACTAGCACTGGCCAAGCATTCAACCTCCCTCCATCCGATAACAGCCCACCCTG